GTCGCCAGTCACTCGCGCCTCCTCTTCTCATTTCTAGTCGCTCTCTTGTACTCACCCTCCAGCCACGCTAGAGAGCACCGCGCCGGCCCTCCATCCTCGCATATGGCATTACCATAATCCACCATCAGTCCCATTACTAACTCCTCACCAGCAACTCACTCCCCGTCCCCTAACTTGCCGTAAACTCACAACTCCCCAGGATGCCTACCACACTTCTTTTCTTCACTCTCGTTTTCTTCGCCGCTCGTCTCCAACCCACTCACGCCACTCATCCGCAACTCATTCAACTCCCTCCACCCACTAACCACCACCCAGAGAACAACTCTGACTCTTCAGACACCACCCGCTTGAACCATAACTCCTCCACTTCCAACCCCACCCTCAACAACCCTCGCATCCAAAACCCCCACCCCGACCCAACAAACCTCACCACCGCCTCCCACCTACAAATGCACACACACCCGGTCTCCGACCCATCCGCCACAGACCTCTCGCCTCGCATTGCCACCATCACCGCTCTGCTCAACGAAAAGACCGCCCTGCTGAACGCCCTCTCCATCCACTCCGCGCGCCGCCAGCACGCCATCGACTCTCTGCACGACTCCATGCACCGCAAAAACACCATCCTGCTGGAGACACGCACCGCCGACGACCTGAAAGACGACCTCCACCTCCACATCGCCCAGCTCACCAACCGCCTGGCGCGCTACGAGCGGACCCTCACCATCCTCACCGACCAAGAGTACGACGCGAAGAGGGCCGTCGACAGGCTCCGCGGCCACGTCTTTTCGCTCATGCGCCACAACGCACGTCTGGCAGACGCCCTGCGAGAGCGCGGCCTGGAGCACTGGGTCGAGAACTCCGTCAAGGACACCGTCGGACCCTTCGTGTCTGACGCCCTCGTCCAAGGCACGGCCTCGGTCGTCGAGCCGGTGCTTGATGGAATTGAGACACTCGCACTCGTCAATGGCCACCTGTCGGACACCATGAAGCAGACGTTGCGCCATCGCGTGCCCATTGTCGAGAAGCCATTTTACGCCGGCTTTGTCACTTACGTCGTCCTGCTCGCCCCTACTGTCCTGGTTGCTAGCCTTGTGATGAAAGTGAAGAGGGGCATCTCAAGACTTTCGCTGCGTCATGTCGTCATTCTTGGAAACCTTTACTTTCTTCTGCTCAGTGCCGGTTGCTTCGTCGCCACTCTGCTCGGCGCCGTCGATGTCTTGTTTACGTTTCGCCACTACAATCTCAGATTCTTTGACTTTGCCATGGTCATACACGGCCTTTTGTATGTCTCGCACGTCTTCGGCCAAGTCCGGCTCTTGTGGCTAACCAGAGAGAGGGGCGGTATCATTCACGTTTTGCTTCTATGCATCGTCGGTTTGCACTTTTTCGTACATTCATACAGACATGCCATGCATCACGAAGACCCTCACGTAGACAAAAGGGCCTATCTTTTCTACACTGGAATTTTTCTTTTCGTTCTCTACGAATCCACATCGAAGCTACTGCGACAGCAACGCGACAGCACGGACATGAAACTCAACAACACCTCGATATCTACAGCTACTGCCAGGCTGGAGAGAGAGGCTGCGGCGCGTGCCGCCACAGTGCTCCCCATGATGGAATCTTCCCCAACGGAATCTTCCACGAGAATATCATTTTTAAACCAGCCAGTGAACCAAAGTCCCGCAGCGGCTCCAAACGTTCAGAGTCTTCAAGCGCAGACCGGCAGCGCATCGTCAAGGCATGTCGTGTCAGGCTTTCCGCGCGATGTGGGATCATCTTCTTCTATTTTGGGGAATGGCCACGGGCTTCTCTCTTCGGATTCGAAGGCGGCCCGTGACTTGTAGCTGTATTTGAGTGATTTAAATCGCTTTCCCTTCATCTTGGTAAACGTGTCTTTTTCGAATGCAAGGGGAGATTGTGGGAGGGGGTCTCATCGCCTTATCAAGTCATGCCCTAACCCTTGCTACCCGACAGAAAAACCATAATGGTCTCTAGTATGTTAAACAAGTCCTGCCTACGGTGTCTCGGCCGTTATGTAATGTACTGTGGTATTCACCCCAGTTGCATTCCGTAAATCATCACTGAGTTCCGTCGCAAAAACCTCGGCGTGCTCCTTCCTGTCCTCCCAAATGTGAAGTTCAGATATGGACGCGTTTGACAGAGGTTCCTGGGTCAACAGCGTGTGAAAGAGGGCCTTTTTGTACTCCAGCGTTGTCATCCGACCGCCGGGATGAGTAAAAACCGCGTCATGTTTCAAAAACGAGACTCCTTCCGCGACAGTGTCGTTCTTCGCTGCCACACAAATTTCATCCAATATTCGCAGCACTGACCTCCTCAAAGGCTTTATTCTTCCAGTCACAACCACACCAACTGCAGTCTCCGATTTAGTCATCACCTCCTCAAGCTCGTTGAACACCGTGCGAATAACGTAGCCTGGGGGACAAGGAGACGGTAAGACCGGAGGGCAAAGAGACTCTGGCCGTCCCCACCAACCGCCCTTCCACTGCTGACCAGTCTCCGCATGGTATCGAGGCCTTCCTTCGGCAGGTCCTGGCGTTCTCACGAGCGTCCCGTCAAAATCGAAAACGTGTAGAGATGATATCGGCCCAGCTTTTCGGTCGAGGCCCAGAGCAGCAGAAAACGCTTGCGGCAACTCCATGCTGCTAGAGCGGTTTCCAAAACTGCGCCAAGGCGTCCTAAGACTATGAATAGCGAACAGAGGTATCGGGATTGTGGCTAGTCGTGGGATCATTCATAGGGGTGCGAAAGAGGGGGGGGGCATCAGAGACCCCTCCAATCGATACAAATATAAAAACCAACATCAATGCAATTCTCATGCCCAAATTTGGCTCGGAAAACGCACGCGCTTACTGCCCGGCTCGCACAGTCCTAGCCTAGGATCTCAGCTCTTGGGGCTATGAAGACCAGTCCGTTTTATGCCGCACCTTCCCAGCATCTCTTGCGGTGTCCTTTCACTGCCTGCTCATTTCTTTCTCCCTTTACAGTTCTCACCGAAAGCATTCGAAGTGGCAGACCAGCTAGGCCTTTCAGTTGCCACCATCTAGGCGTCTTACGTCGGCATACATGCGTAGGGCTTCGAGAAGATGGCTAACCTGTGTACAGTCTTCATTGTGTCCCCACTCTCATCATTCGCAAGCTTCAGTCCGCGTTACAACCAGGCTTCCGCCTTTCGAGGGCCGCAGAATCAAGCTGTCTCCAAGCGACCACGGAGGCCCGTAAAAGCTGCATTCACAAGATGTTCGCATGCCTCGGCAATTCCTCCAGCACCCTCCAAAAGAAATGCTCCGACCGGGTCGCCGCTGCACTCGCTAGAGACTGGCACATGGTTTAAGCTAATATGCGGCGCAAGCTCGCACGATGCCCCGTCAATTCGAAACCTCTGTGCTGTCTACACGGCAGTGGGCGTAGACTGTATTGACGTTGCCTGCGACCTTGCAATAGTTCGAGCTGCGCGCAAAGGTATTGCAGAAGGTATTATGCGCCGTCAGTCGTCACATTCCCCTTTCCTGATGGTGTCTGTCAATGCCGGTACAGACCCACATTTCCGCAAGGCGAGTTTCGCGCCATCCGCATGTCCACCAGAGTGTCGGAGACCCTGTGAGAAAGTTTGCCCAGCCGATGCGATAGATCTGTCGGGGGTTATAATTGATCTATGCTACGGCTGTGGGCGCTGCGTTCCTGTTTGCCCCCCGGACATTATTCGCACGCTAGAGTATCAACATGATCCACGCTTCGTCTCTGCTGTGCTGGAGGACGTGGATGCAGTTGAGATTCATGTTGGACGTGGCCAAGAGGCGGAATTCCGTGAGTTGTGGATGCAAATTGGAGATGTGGCATCTAGACTCAAGGTCGTAGCAGTATCATTGCCAGACCTCGGGGGTGATGCAGCTTTGGCAGCTGGGTTGCAATCGATGTGGGACGTGATGAAGACACACGTGTCCGACACAGGAAATGGACCACGTTTAATTTGGCAAGCCGATGGGAGACCAATGAGTGGGGATATAGGGCGGGGAACTGCCAAGGCAGCTGTCTTCTTGGGAAAGAGAGTTCGTGAAGCTTTGAACGTTGCTAGAATCCCAGGAGAAGTGCAGCTCGCGGGCGGTACGAACGACGCAACCGTTCCTCTAATGCAAGCAAATGGACTGAGACGGGTTGGTCATGCTACGACTAGTGAAAGCTTTGGTGGAATTGCTGTGGGTGGGTATGCTCGAAAGGTAAGCTGTTCAGCGCCATGAAACGAAGTTTTGCGTTTCTGAAGAGTTCGACTATACGCGTTGCTAACGCGTTTATACTTGTATTGAGAATATAGATTCAGCAAGAAGCTTTGAAAGATGTCTGTGGGTCTGACGGAAACTTGAGCTCGCAGGATTTTGAAAAAGCATACCAAGCTGCAAAGACGCTTGTTGATGGAATTAAAGCGTAGCAAGCGCAAGCTCTAATAAGATGAAGCTCCTCCCCGCACTATGTTGCGGCACTCGGGAAGTGTGAGGAAAAGCTTCGCTGCCGCTCTTGGGAGAATTTTATTGAGCTGGTTGCATTGAATATAAGTCATCTGTCTGAAGTGAAAGAGGTGTCGCGCAGATTGCCCCCGAGCCAAATTTATTTCCCCTTTTTTAAAGGTGTTGATCCTCTAATTAGCTTTTCAATCGTTTGGCTGGAAACAAAAAGTTCGGCATGCACTCGTACTTATGCCGCACCCGACACAGTTGTCGCGGGTTGCCTGATGTTTACCTTGTTCTCCCTACCGCCGTCGCGCGCTTGTGACTGAATGGTGGCCGCATTCTCTGGAATATCCTGAATGCGGCTATGGCTCCACGCTCGAGAACGCGACAGCGACGAACAAAACAAGAGCGCTTTCTGCTCGACCACTTACCAAAGGAAGTGCGCGAGAACATTGCCAGAATCGTCACCAAAGGCGGGCAATGCAACGCTGATGGCTACAATCTCTCCCAGGCAAGCAAACACCAGCGTCATGCAGTGCTTTCAGCAATGCCGCGGCACATGAACTTCGCTCTTGGAGCTATCAACATGACAGATGATTGGGCAAAGCTTCTCTCCAAACACGTCTATAGCATGCATGTTGAAGCCATGGATGCCAATGTTGATGATGATGAAATCAACAGAAAAGCGCCAATCGTGCAACTACTCACTGCGCCGCAATTGCAAAAGGTTCATATCCCGGCCATTTCAACTTTTTTGTTCGCAATCAGAAGCTGCACATCTTTGCGTGTGCTCAGCATTGATCTGCGTGTTTGCGATCCTAACTCACTCATATGTAGCTTGCGACACTTCGGCCCATCGCTCGGATTTCTAGGGCTTACATGCGGAAATACCGGAAAGACGAAGGGCGCAGCTTCGGCATCTAACTGCCCCATGCTTCTATGCAACAAAAGCTTTCCGGGAACTTTGGATACCCTTTGTCCCAATTTAAAGCATCTCCGGCTGAGATGTCCACATATAGAACCGTCGACAGCGTCCACTATACTTGCAAAGCTTCCGGGGCTGAGAGGCATGGATGTCATGGGTTCTGGTGGAACACTTACCATTTCCAGTGACGATATTTCAGCTTTACGGAGGCTTCAAAACGTTTGTGTGGAAAACGTCTCGAACTGTGTAGATGTCGCAAGTCGCATCGGCAACGCAGTGACGAGTTGCTTTATGGAAGATGACCTGCTGGATAACATAAAAGAGCTAATCAAGTGCCCTCGCTTGCAATCTGCTCGGTTTCGAATGCAGTTATCACAAGTGAAGCAATTTGTCGAGGTTGCCTCTAATTTACCGTTGCTTAAGTTCTTCTCGGTGCTTATCCAGGGGACTCATGATAAAAAGGTCACCTTTACGGAGGTCAAAGATGCAGCTCTTGAGACGAAGAACGTCTTGCGCAGCAGCCCCTCACCAACCAGCACTGCAATTTTAGAATGTGCTGTCTTTCCCAGTGATTGGATGCGACGTACTCCAGAGATGGCTAGGATAGTGGCCATTCTCACTGATGAAAGAACAAGAGTTACTTACTCGGAGGTCTCAGTTCATCTCATGCCACATATGAGAGTCTTTCTCTACAAGACAGCTCCGAAATAAGCTCGAGGTTTTCTCCAGGCAGAGTGGGCATGGGTGCTCCGGAGCAACCAGCTACATCTGCGCTGAATCATAGAAGAAACCAGCTCGCAAAAGCAACGAGACACGTGTGGCATGTTCTCCAGCACACTGAATCAGGCATCGAACAAGAGTTTCTCATCCCCCCTTAGCACATTCGAAGCTGTGTTTTGACTTTTTCCCGCTAGTATAACTGTCAATTTTGCTATCGGTGCTAACTGAGGAATTTTTCCTTTATGTGCATTGGTAGGATGTTAGTGATGAATTCCAGTGGGAGGTCATTTCTCGCCAACTAGCAGCCAATAGGTTTGGTTTTGGTCCCATTGTGTGGCAAAGGCAGTGTGATTCTCTTCTTGTGTTCGTCGTGAATCATCAACATCCATTACAGAGAGTAGTATTCTTTTCCAATCTCATCTTCTACAATCGAAGGTGCAGGGCAGAGTGGTGCGAGCTTGCTGCGCGCGCCATGTGCAAGTTCTCTGCACCTTTTGCCCTTGTAGATGTCACAGTTTGTGCAAGCTGGGAAGCCGTATTTTATAAGAGTTAGTATGAATCGTTCAGTGTTAGCAGAGGACGAACAGTACTAACTTTGCGTTTTGGCGTATCTAATTGCAAACATAGAGTTCTCCAGGAGCGCTCTACTTACAGCACAAAAGGAGTGCTACTCCTCACAGACGTAAAACTAAACAGCAGGACAAGTTCATATCCCTAATGCCAGATTTTTTGATCACTACAGTGATCATAGACTTCGACAGCACAGTAGTTTGGCGCATGAAGTGCTCGTTTCCAATAAAGTACGCAGAGCCATTCGTGACGTTTCCTCTGACCTGCCTGCCAAGTTTGAGGTTCACGCATAAAAATTGACTGAAGGGCAGGTCCGCGAAGTTGGGTGATCAGACCCACCTCGAAGGGGGTCCAAATGGTCTATAGATCACTACCGTGATCAATAGGCGGACCTTCAAGGAAGCCATTTCTCTTGAATAGGGCTGCAAATACGGCGGAGCGTTCATGTTCTACGCTGCCTTCGCGCAGCTGGCTCAATACTTTTATCTCCTTCGCCAGACCTACACCTTGCAAGCCCTGCAAAGGCCCCCTGAGATGCTCTGCGCGGTCTCTCACTGCGCCCCTGACCATTCCCTTCCGCCCTCTCGATGTCATCACCCCCAGGAGTGTCTGAATCTCGGGATATGCATGTACCATGTAGAACAGTACTTTGCACAAAAATGTTCCAATTGGCTGTTTTTAAGGCCTGGAACGAATACTGTACATAAAAGATAAAAACTTCTAGGCCATGGCCGGAAGTGTTTTTCGGATCAGCCTTGTTGTGGACAAGAAACCACGTGATACTTGTCTCAGCTGACTACTGCAGTTCGTACGGCACGAGCAGTGGAGCGTAGTGTTGCCTCGTCTCGCTCAAACCACCCGTATGTTTCTTCCGAAAGTGCTGCGCCGCGTAGAAGTGTTTCTGGAGCAAGCGGATGAGGTCGTAGCACAGGCGTCGCGCCGTATAGCTGTCGAGGGTGCTACCTCTACTGTCGACTCTGCTGATGAGCTGTCTTCCTCCGACGACGATGTCAGCACTCGGCGCCGCGCATCAAAAATTCCGCGAGCTGAAGAGCGTGCCGCCTCTCAGCCTAGCCAGTCGCCTTTTTCCGAGGAGTTGGATAATCACCAACAGTCAGAGTCCGGCGCGGACCCGTTTCCGGAGCTTGACGCTGAAGACGCTTGGGGCGCAGAAATATCGATAGATGAAAGCAAATTCACTGAGCCGAGAGAAGAGGGCACGCATGCTTATTTTCCGACTGGAGGAAGCGAAAAGGGAGATGCCACTGACTCAGTGGATTCCAATGTAGCTTTACAAGGCTTGCCAGAACATGCAGTCGACTCGACAAGAGCCGAGTCGGAAGCGAACTTGGCTGCTGAAGTTTCAGCAGGACTGGAAGCTGAGACAGCGGATGACACATCTCCTTCCGAGTCAGACCAAATCCCCATGATGCTTGAGCCCATGGATGCCATGTTTGCTGCTCCAGCCCCACGACCATCTGCCCCACCCGTTGCGAAACGGCGCTTTGCTCCGTCGTCAGCGAAGAAGCCACCAACCGGGGCAGCGTCCATGACTGCAGCGGAAGGCGAATACGTCCGAGCTCTAAAAGCTGAAAACGCGGACTTGCGCAAAGAGCTGGAACTAGTCGAGGGCGATTTTGAGAAGAGTCGCCGCGAGCGGAGCAAGCTCGTCAAAAATCTAAAACGAATGAAAGAGATAGTTCATGAGATGGACGAGTCACTACGCGAGAAATCGTCGGAAGCGCGTTCCCGCGAAGCAGAACTGGTGGCCGCGAAGGACGAAATTTCTTCCTTGCGAACTAAGACAAGGGAGAGCGACGCACGAGGAAAGGATGGAATGGATCTTTTACGAAAGGAACTAACTGCAGAAATAGAAGCACTTGAACATGACCTGGATGCCGTAAGCAAGGATGCAGAGTCTCTGCAAGAGGAAAATGAACGTCTAAAAGAAGCTCTATTGCATGGTAATGAAGTTGATATGGCGACAGCAGACGGGGCACGACAAGAGGCATCCCAAGCTCACCGCGCTTACGAAGCTGAATCGCAAGCGCACCGTGAAACAAGAAAGCAGGCCAAAGAGCGTGAGGAAGCGTTGGAGTCGGAAGCGGTT